ACTAATTAATTATTAAAATATTATATTTAGATTAATAATATATTCATTAAAAATCTTTAAATAATAAAACTATTAAATCATATAATAGATATGTGATCAATAGATTTTTATTTCTAGAAATTTATAAATTTTTTCAATTAATTTAAGTAAAATCTTTTTTTCCAATTATTAATGTTTTATATATATAAATAAAAAGTAGACAAATTTATTATTATAAAAACTTATAAATCTTATTCTATCAAATTACATTATATTATATTTCATTCTTTTATAATTTAATAATATCATACCAATACTAGCTAAAAAGAAAACATATAATTAAATAATAAATCTAATAAAGTATTAAACTTTATCTTATAAATAATCCTATTATCAATAATAATTTAATTAGAAGTTGCATTGTAAATAAAATTTATTAAGATAAACTTGTATTTTTAATAAATCTATAAATAAATGTTAATTTTCACATTTATATTAATAGATTATTAATTAATCTAGTTTTTATTTATTGTAAAATAAATCTTGGATTATTCTGCTCTAAATCATTTAATAAATTTTTTTACAATTTTTTAGTGGCTGTTACAAAATTCTCAATTATTAACTAAAGTTAAACTTCTTGTATTATTTACTATTATTATTATTTGTTTACTAAAATCTTATATTATAATTTTCTTAATTAGTTAAGTAATTATTATAGATTTAACAATTTTCTTAAAATGGAAATTTTACAATTAAAATTAAAAAATTTTTTTGAAATCAGACAATCTAAACTTTAATTTATTATATATTTAAAAACCTTTAATTTTCTATTAAATTAATTAAAATCAAAGACTTTTTAAAAAACTTTTATAATAATAAAGTTAATGATATAGTAAAGAAAAATAATTTTAAATTTTTTCTCATTTTAAACTATATTATCTTTGAGAATCTATAAATTTATCTTAATTTTAATAATATTTCTATTGAATCCTCTTTAAAAAAATTTGAAAAGACTTAAATGCTACTTTTATAATTCTGCTTTTTTCTAAACTTTAACAGAAATTTCTTTCTTATTAATCTTAATAGAAATTCAATAAATATTAAAATTTTCTTTAAGCTACTCAATATTAATAATGATGATATAATAGCAGCTATTTTTTTTTATGTAAAAAATAAGAAAACATTTAAATGAAAGTTCTTAAGAATCACTCCCTTATAAATTCATATTAGAGTTTATGTAGAATTTATATGTAAATTTTGATCAGAATTACATATTATAGAAATTCAAATTTTGTTAGCTAACCAATTATCAGATTTTAACAATCTTGGATTTGTTAGGATTGTTTTGATAAGAGAAATCTAATAGTAGTAAGATTGCATTTTTTTGCATTAATATTAACCAAGTTATTGTAAAAAATGCATTTTACTATACATTATTTATGAGTTAAATGAAAGATATTCAGGATCCTGATCCTTATAAATAAATTAACAACGGAAATAGATGATTATATTATGATTTGAATCATTTTTAAAACCTCAATTTTAAAATTTGCCTGATATTTAAAAATATTAGCATTTTTGATTTAAAAGAAATGAATCAGAAAAAAATCTTTAGGTGGGAGGAGAATTTCAATGTTTTGATTTTTAAAAAACAAATATTTTGACATTTGAGCTTCAATAGCTATATTTTTATCTACCTTTATTATTAAAAAATATTCGAAAATTTGTTGAACCATTTCAGGATATCATATGTCCTAAAACTAATAAAAATAAAATTTTTTATGATTTTTATAAGCTTTTCTTGTAGTAATATTCCATTTTTTGATGCTTTCTAGTATATTTGAAAATCAATGCTGGAAGAATTCTACATAATAAAATCATTTGAAATTTTAGAATCAAATAGTTTGAGAATGTATGTATAACATATTACAATAGAAGAACATGAACTTTTGCGCTGGCTGGAGACGATATCATAAGTTATAGTATATAATCATCAGGCGATTTGTAACGATATCGCCGGAGAAAAAGTGATGAAAGTTTGAAATGAGATGTAAGCGTATGCATATGATGAAATTGCGTAAATACCTGGATTTTACTAGTTCAAAATTAGAGAAGATAGATCAGGACACTCAAAATGTATTTATTATTCGTGAATTTACTAACGCTAATTACCAGTTGAGATCTTTTTTTGTGATCAAAAAAGACAGAGGTCCCGGACCCAAATTATTAAATTTTGAAATTTGATAATGTTTAAAAAGTATCGTGAATTTTATTATTATAGTTTTCGTTGTTGGTCGAAACTAGTTTAGCCTTGGCGAAAGTATTTGTATTACCGAGGAGGTTTTTTTTTAAAAAAAAAAAATTAAATAATAAAGATTTCCTCATATGTTGAATTATAATTATTTTTTTATTCGAATTTTCCTTGGTGCTAATAAATATGCCTTTCTAGGGATGCTAATGGTCACGGTCATAACCTTGACCATATCGGGCTACTGACCCGACCAAATTAACAACCATTATTTATAATTAGTAAAGAATTCTTTGATATTTAATTATTATATATTTTTTTGTTTATTATATAAAGATTTTAAAAAAAAAGAATTGTTCAATCTTTCAATAATTAAATAATATTTACCTCCACAAACAATCAAAAAGATAATCATCTTGCCCAGTATTGTACCTTGTTCGGAAAAGGGTTTGTTTATTGTTTGACACAAAAAAAATCCTGTTTATTACGCCAAAGTGTATAGTTTAACCTTAATAGGATGTAACCCAACGTTTGGGAAACTTAAAATAACTTTTAGTCAAAGACTTTAGGAAAATAACTGGGTTCGAGTTATGAATACATTGGACCTGTGTGATTTTCATGATCAATTAACAAATCTCATTCTTTTCATACAATGCTCGTTTTCAATAAACCATGTTTCACATGAGGTTTCTATGAAATATACTTGATAAGTAAGTTCAATTGAAAAACTATTAATACCTCTACCCGGAAAAATCCTTGTCGATTAAATGATGATGATGATCGTCATCGATTTACACTGCATTAATTTTATCGAGAAAAAAACAATAAACGAGATAAATTTCTTGTTGCCTCCTTCATTATGAAAAGAATAAGGTTTAAGCTCAATTATTTGCATGAGCATCCAGAAATAAAATGAATATTTAATTTGCTCTAAATATATAATAAAAGATTTCTTTTCCTACAACGAATGAATCAAAGAAATTCCATATTGAAATATTATCAAAGATAAAAATTACAATGTCAAAGTCCTTGTTATCCATTTTGATATTACGTCCAAACATAGTAATTCATTGAATTTATATTGTATCACAAAAGCTTGGCAAACAAGCTTGTGCTACATTAACTGAGTTATTTTATGTGAGACATTTTTGCCAATAACCCATTTTGTCATTGGATGGGATGAATCTCAATAAAATGTAAAAATAACAAACATGATATTATTACTTATTTAAAGTTATTTAATGAACCATCGAAATAGAGAGATCGTTTAAAAGATAGAACAAAAAAGGGTAAGATGTAGAACAAAAGATTATATTCCAGATCAAAAAAAATTAAAAAAGAACAAATGTGACGCATAATCCTTTATTGATAATTTCCCAAATTTTGCTAAATAAAGGAATTCAAGATGTTGACTTTCCTTGCATTGGTTAATACCTCCCAAAAATATCGAAATCTTTTCTTATACGAATCTGGTTAGTCGCGTGTGAGAAAAGAAAGAATCTCGGAAGTAGCATGTGAAGTTTGTCCAAAAATCTAGACTTTAACCTAATTTGAGTAAAATTTCTTGGTCGCTTCGACGATTCCGAATTATTGTTCTTGACAAATATTCTCAATAAGTCAGTTTCATACCAATTACTATCTTTAGTCCACAGCTTCTCGCATTGAACGCCCGACATATTAAAAGAAAAAAAAAAATAAGATCAATCTTATCGTAATGTTATTTCATTTAAAAAAAATTTTAATAATTTCCATTTGTAAATCGTTAGCATGACAATAGACCTGTCGAATTTGGCGAATTTGATAGAAACAAGAATTATAATGAGCCAAATTGGAGCGATACGTAATTTATACTAATTGATCTAAAAAAAAAAAAAAAATATAAATATACATGTAAAGATTTTTCAAAAAACCAAAAAAAAAAAGGTCATTGTCTTATAAATTTAGAATTATCGTGAGAAAAAGAAGAAAAATTAAAATGAAATTTAAAATAACTTTTTTACTTTTGGTAGCTTTGTTTACAACATCCGCGTTATCAAAACCAATTTTTGATAGACGAGAACAATTTAGTTCCGACCACCAAAATATTTTTCAACCCTTTCTTCCATTATATAAAACTCATAAACCTGTGACAAGATATTATGATCTTGTTATATCTCGAACAGAGTTAGCCCCGGATGGACTTTTGACAGAAGTTTTTACCGTAAATAAGCAATATCCCGCTCCTATAATTCATGCAAACAAAGGCGATAGAATTGTTGCCAAGGTGACGAATCATCTTGGTAAAAGTGAACCAACAGGTAACATCATCCATCCTCTTCGAAAATTTGCCAACCATTTTTTTTTTTTGTTTAACTTTTTTTCAAATGTTCACTAGCAATGCATTGGCATGGCATGTTCCAGAGGGGAACAAATTGGTATGTAAGGAAATCATGTTTCGGACAAATGATAAAATTCAAAGCTTATTAATCCAATCTTAATCTTGGAACGCTAGGTTCGACGGGGTTGTAGGAATGGTAATTGAACAATTCCATTCGTCATTATTCTCCTTTTCTCTCTTATTCGTGATTCAAACCAAACCTTTTGAAATTTTTCAACCAGACGCAATGTCCCATTCCTGATGACGTGTCATTTGTATACGATTTTTCGACTGGTAAACAAGCCGGCACCTTTTGGTATCATGCACATACACGAGCACAATTTGCGGAAGGAATTCGAGGTCCATTAATGTAGGGTTTATGATTTTTGTCATTTCCAATTTGATTAATTTTGTTCTAATCATTTTTTCTTTAAATAGCATTCACGACCCCGATGATCCTTACCGTGAAAAATACGATCTAGAATACGTCGTGACACTTTCGGATTGGTACCATGATGCAATTGCAGAATTGTTGGAGATTAGGAGTAGACCAAATTATGGTGGTTTTAATGTAAAAAATCTATCTTTTCTTCATGTATTTTTAAAAAAAATTTTCAAAATTTTAAAATGTCTTAAATCATTCTATATTATCATTATTATTATTTTTTTTTTAGCCAGTTCCGGACTCTGGTCTCATAAGTGGAGTTGGTCGTTATAATTGTTCTGCTGCTCCAGAGGGAAGCAAGTGCCGAAAAGACAATCCATTGGCGGTGTACAAATTTGAATCCGGTAAAAAATATAGGCTTCGTATTATCAATACAAGGTAAGTTAAGAGGGTAAATGAATAATGTTTACGTGAAGAGCTTGCTTTGCTTATTTATTAATCCTCGTTTATCTCTTTCACTTAGCGCATTGGTTCACTACATTTTCTCGATCGATTCCCATCCGCTCACGATTATCGAGGCAGATGGATCATACACAAAGCCATACACGGTCAACAGATTGCCTATTGGTATTGGCCAACGATATTCTGTTATCGTTAAAGCCGATCAAAAAGTTGATAATTATTGGATTAGAGCAACGATTGATAGTAGATGTATATTATCGAATAATGAAACGATCAATTTCGATTCGGCTATAAATTATAACGTTACAGGAATTTTAAGATATTTCGGAGCAGAAAAAATCGATCCAACGACCTCCGCGTTTACTGATGAACTTCCGACTTGTCTTGGTGTTCCCCAAAATGTTTTGAAATTATTACGGCCTGAAAAAGTTCCTGAACCTGTTACGGATAATATTTTGTTTAACATCACGATTCGCCCAGACGAACATAATGTTACGCTTGCCTTTGTAAATAATTCTTCATTCGTTGGGGATAAATATAATCCGACACTAAAGCAATTGGCGATGCATGAGATAAAATCGATAAATGAACTCCCTCGTAAACGAAATGCTTATGCCTTGGAAAACCCTGATGGAGTCGTTGACATTACAATCTTAAGTAAGATAAATTTATATGTAATGATTAACTACGTTGTTATAACCGCATGATAATGAATTTTTTTTTTTTATGACGAAAATTAAGATGCAAATGGCGGGATTCATCCGTTCCATTTACACGGACACAATTTTTATGTGCTTGGTACTGGACCGGGGTTGGTAGTCGACAAATCTCAGCTAAATTTAGTGGATCCATTTCCCCGTGACGTATTCGTAGTGAATGGAACCAGGTAAATCAATCATACTTATTTATTTAAATTTTCACGGACGTCGTAAAATTATTTCTACCTTTGTACTCAATTGTAAATCTATTAAAATAGCTGGGCCGTATTTCGTTTCAAAACTAATAATGCCGGTGTCTGGTCTTTCCATTGTCACATCGAGGTATTTTAAAAAAAAATTTATATATAGATACAGTATATATATCATATCATTTTTTAACTGTAACTAAAATTATTCCTTCTTTTATAGTTTCATGTTGAAATGGGAATGATCGCTCAAATAGTAGAGTTACCAAAGGAAATATCAAAACTAAAGTTACCGCAAGCCACTCTTGATCTGTGTAAAAAATACTCATCATTCAAGTCGTCCTTCCCACAAAAATGAAGCAATCGTAGACATGAAAGTACTTAAGTGTAAAATATAAAAAAGACATTGACATATCAAAGCTAATTTCTAAAATATGTGTAAAATATATAAAATATTGTCATTTTACCGATGTTTAAAAGTTATTTTGTATAATAATCATCTATATTATTTTTTCTATTTAATAAAATAAAATTAAAGAATTAGTGAATTTCTATAATTTAAAGGTATCTTATGAACTATTATTAATTAGATGCGGTGATTTAAAGTTGTGGCATCAGATGATGAATTGATTGAATGCCTTGGACTTGATCCTTCATAATTTCCCCATTCAGCCTTTTTTGATCTAAAATAAGCATCATCAACATAAAATGAATGATAAGAACTTTGTCTTAAATTACGTTTAGGAGCTATGGGACTCTGACTGAGCGAATTATCAAATGAGCTGCTCATTGCAAGATGTATCTCTCCAAAATCGGTTGATGATGATGTAGCGGGACAATGAATCGTCGTATCTGATCCATCACGACGAGGTCCAACTATACTATTACCACGTAACTTGGATCCCGGTATCTTTGCCACGTAGGTGCTACAGAAAATACCAATCACGTATTTAAATTTCGGGTCAAAAAAAAAAAAAAAAATTTTTTTTTTTTTTTTTTTCTTTTCAAATTTATTTCCTTACTTGTAAATCATGACCCATTGCGAAATGTGAATAGCGATGGGAATGCTATACTGCCAAATTATTAGGTAGGCGATATTGATTCCATAAATAAATATCGTATTCGTTCTGTGCAAGGCTCCGTATAAGACTAGGGCAAAAATATAAATGCATGCCGGAATTAACTGCCACGTGCCTGGAATGGTGATCTAGAGTCAAAAAAAAAATAAATAATAAAAAACTTTTTAAAAAAAATAAAAAATAAAAATAAATAAGATTTTTCCTACTTTATCACGATTTTGCTTAAATTGCTCAAGTTTCAATTCCAATTCGGGATTCTTCTCATTATTCATGGTCAAATCAACGTTTTCTAAAATACTTGGAAAGATTCGTGACCAGAAATAAACCATCGCTCCTATGTAAAAGATTCCCCATACGGCCCAACAAATATTATGCGCTATGAAATATTTATTCGCCTTTCCGATATTTCCAATATCTGCATAATGTCCTGTGCATGGTTTTTGATTTGGGTCAGAAAATAAAAAAATTTCAAATTTTTTTTTTCCTACACAAGTGTAATTCGAAAATTTTCTTACCAGTCATTCCGGCCAAGGGCAGAAAGATAACAAGGGGGGATAACATGATGGAGATACATGTGATATCTATTTTTTTTAATAGATTTAATGATCCTTTCATGGATCCCATTGATGACAGTGTTGTATCTATTTCAATGGCTCCTGTTGAATATACTGAATAAAAAAAAACAAGTGCATTTCAAAAAAAATAAAAATAAAAATAAAAAGGAAATACATGTTCATTAAAAAAAAAAAGAATCGGGACAATTGTTTTTGATGACTTACAAACGCTTAATGGATATAGTATCGAAAATGATGCCGCTAAGGTACGCGGTAATATTTGGAAAACTTTGTGCAAGAAAATAAATTACAAGTCAAAAATTTTTTTGTTTCTTGTTTTAAAAAAAAAAAAAAATGAAGAATCAATTCTTAATAGCGTACTTTCAGCCCACATGGCGTTAGGGTAAAGGTCGTTAAGCAACTGAAGCATATGAATGATCTTCCCTGTATAAAAAAATAAGTTGATTAATTTATTACCCATTTCACATTTCTTAATGGGGTTGACCTTTTCGTTACGATAAAATAATATAAACATTTAACGGTTTGAATATACTCATAGCAAACCTGTTTAGTATGGTTTTGAATGTATGAATAGCATGATTTTTTTTTTTCATAGATGTACACCATACTATTTGAAAAAAAACCACATGTAAATACATACATTAAAAAGAATTTTACTATACATACATTCGAAACCATACTATACAGGTTTGTGTAATACCCTTCTTTGATCGGATAACTTACAAGGACAATATACCAATGCCAACGCATAACACGTGTGTTGGGGACGAGGTCTCAAAAATCCACGATCGCTTCTTGCAGGAAGGAAGAAAGGTTCCTTATTTACATGAATCAATTGGTACAAACAAATTGAAGCTACTATGCTTAATAATAAACAATAAGGGATTAAAATCCAATCCGCGATCTTGTAAACTTCTTGTTCAGGACATCCATGAATATTGACTCGAAAATCACAAGCACAAACGCTAGTGTCCCAAACAAATTTGTTCTGGGGATTATACCCTTTACACACAAGAGTAAAGCTATTTAATAATTGAGCCATAATAATTATGTTATCTAAAAAAATAATTAATAAATTTTAATTCGTTCGATGATTGACTGAAAAAAAAAAGAAAGAAAAAAAATTCTGTACCCTTTGCGAGATGATTTTTTTTTTTTTCAATACTTATAAAGTATAATGCATAGTGTGCATAATAAATAGAATAATTTGAATAATTTAATTAATTAATAACTATGTTTATTGTATAATTTAAAACGGATTTACAAGAATATTATTAAATTTTTAACACATCATAATTGATCAAAACATCTTTTTGGACTGACAAAATTCAACAATGAAAAAAAAAAGAGTATCAAATGTGCAAAATTTGTCACAAAATCGCCATCATCCGTCCTTTTATATCAGGAGGCATGGCTCTTCAGATGCAAGGAAATTTGCATTATGCATCGAAGCATGATGCAAATCCAATCAGCGAATCTACATCCAACAACTTGTGTAGCTATGCCTTATTTCGTTACTTTTCCACGCATACATAAAACGAGTGAGAACTTTTAATAGCTCGTTATATAAATATATTTTTTTTTATGAAACGATTTGGAAAACAAACAAACAAAATTAATGGTAAATGCAATCCCCGCAATAAATGCGTTTCCGGACTTCCAAAGACGATTCTTTTTTAAATATTTATCATCTACATTTGATGTCAAATTGAGCCTTAATTAAGAAATATTTAATTCATTATATTACATAACTCGAGATGTATGGTTTAAAAAAAAATTCAAAGTTTATGCCAAGAAAGGACGACCCTAAGGGTTATTTCTTGATCCAACTTAAAAAAAAAAAATGACGTAACAAATAATCCATTTTTGGTTTATAAAGTCCCGCAATTTTTTTTTCCTCAATCTTTTTTTTTTTTCTTACAAAAAAAAAAAAAAAAGGTATAACGAATCTTAGATTCACCAGATCCAGATGGGGATGATGTTTATAAATAATAATTAATAATGTTCCTTTTATAATTAATGATTAGTCAACTGATTCGTTGGGATTATTTATAATAATATAAACATACAATTATCAAATTACCAAACATAATTTTGATTTTTAATGAAATACATCAACTTTTTAAAAAGATTCGATTTAAGAAAACCCAACGCTATAGATCGAAAAAAATTTTTTTAATTAATTTTGTCTGTCCTCGTGCGAATAAAGTTTTTTTTTGAACAAATGCAAGTAACTTTAAGTATTGTTTTGATTACCGTTGAACTTTTTATTTAATTACGATAGTTTCCGAATTAGGAATCTTTTTTTCCATTCATTAAACCCAAATGTAAGCTTATTTAAAAATAAATTAATATGATTAAGAATCTCACCAATAACGACACTCGTTTAATTATTCGTATAAAAAAAATATTTGTTGTTCAGAAATTATGTAAAATTCGTAGCACCATAAATTAAGATTAGATAATGAGAGATCTTTTTTAATTAAAAAAAAAAAAAGATATTCTTTTTTTATCTACTTTTCCTCCTAATATACAATGATTAAATGTCAATGATTTTCAAAAGGGAATAATTTTTTAAAAAACCAATCAGGGATCAAAGATAATTTAGATTATCATCTATAAAATGCCTTACTCGTCGTAAGAAATTAAAATAATTTTCCAGTATTACAAATAATTGGTAAATTAATTTGTGTTTTACAATGGCGCAGGAGCCAATTCTTATTTATTTTGTCGATTTTTTTAAATAATAAATAAATAAATAGCAAATAAATCTCATTTAAAATCGTTCCTATCCCCACGATTTACCAGTTAGTATTATTATTTGGACAAATTTTTTGAATGAGGTTTCGGCATAAATTATTTGTAATTAATGGGAAGTTGTTAAAAAAAAAAAAACTTGAATGAGATCGGCTTCCCCATTTTGTTTTTTTTTTTTTAATTCCAACAGAAAACTTCTTTATCAACTCGTGATTTCGGTGTAGCAATGTTATCACCAATCGTCATTCATCTTCAATGAAAATTAAATTGGTATCATTTGAAAATAAATAATAAATTTATTATTTAATTTATTTGTTTGCTTTGACTTTATTTTGTGTCACGATAAGTTTGCGTTACACTGAAAGTTAGCAAACAAAAATTAAAGCGAACCAATGGGATTTCAAGAGAAATATTTTTCTTGATTTTCGGGCTAATTCGTCACATCCGATTTTATTTTTTGGAAAGTTTATAATTAGTCCGCCCTCAGCCCAGGAAAAAAAAAAGGGAGCATAAAAAAAACAAGAAAGACTCTATTAGTAAAAATCAATATTCCCAGTACCGTTAAAAAATTGCTTTTTGTGATCCAATAATACGATTTTCCGCATCAGAAAAGGTTTGGATTTCATTTAAAAGACGCAATCTACCAGTCACGCAATAGTTTTCATGCTTTTATGGTAAATGGTTTTTTTTTGAAATCGAATCAGGAAAAGTTCATTTCCCAAATCCTCTCTTATCAACCCAAGTTCCAATGAGTGTAATTGTTTACTGAATTTTTGTCTCACTTTCCTATTCTCCAAATTTGATTTTTTTTGGAAAAAAGCGCAAAGCAACGTTTGGTTCAGTCGAGGTTACACGATTAGCTTATATTTATATCACGGTACATCCCATTCACTAAAAAGAAATTTTTTTTGTTGTCTATTTATGTGTTCTTTGGAGTTTTTCCCTAAAAAAGCCATTCTTTATCATCTCTTTACCTTGTCCTTTTTTTTAAATCGTCCCTTTTTTAACCTGTGCTTTCCTTCTTTGACTTTCTTTTGCTTTCTCATCATTCTTTTCGGTTGAAACTCTTTTTGGAGTTCATACCGTCATTTCTTATTTTATACGAAATCTGAAAAAAAAAAAAAAAAAATAATAATAATAATAATAATAATTTTTTTTTTTTTAAAAAAAAACAAAAAATAAAAAAAAAAAATAATCTGAACCCTTTTTTTTTTTTTAAAAAAAAAAAAAAAAATTTAAAAAAAAATTTAAAAATAAAAAAACTAAAAAAATATTTTATTTTATTTTAATTTTTTTTTTTTTTTTTTTTTTTTTTTTTGTTTATCATGAATCGAACAAAAGTGACAGTTGCTTGTCAGGCATGTCAGAAGAAGAAAGTGAAGTGTACGGGGAGTTCGCCCTGTGCCAATTGTTCGAGAAGCGGTCACAGCTGTATCTTTTCCAATACGGCAAAAAAAAGAGGTCCAAGAAATGGTAATGTCGAGGTGATAAAGAGCTCGGCACATAGAATCGAATACGTTTTGCAGAATTACCCAAGTTTGCGAGATCAAATCGAGCAGATGCTTGATGGAAACAAGAACGAAATTAATAACAATAAACGCTGCTCTCCATCTCGAAATATTCACCCAATGAGACTGCAATCCTTAAACGACGTTGTTATAGACGATGATGCCAATACCAAAACCAAAAATAAGGGATTACCTTATTTTGTTCCAACGAAATCCGTTACCCGTCAAGATGATATTACCAATAGAACGCCACGTCAAGATCAACAAGATCAAGTCAATGAGCAAGAGAATCGACTACCCATCTTCTGTAGACCTTTGCCCGTTTATCCTTCGAATATGCAAAGGAATCATGTAACACGACGATCGGATATTAATAGATACGCTCAAACGAGCCCGCATAGAAATATAGAAGTTGCTAATTTAACAACCAAACCTGCCTTGCCGCCTTTTAGCGCAATAATGGAAGTATCGTCGAAAGACGAAGCACCGGATGATGAAAACCATTTGACATTACCAACTCCCTATAATATGTTCAATAGGAAGTCAGTGTCAATGTCAATCTGTAGCTCTTCACTAGGAACTCAGTTGTTGCTTCCTGCGCCTGCGGATAATTCATTAGACGATTTACAAAAGTCCTTGATTTCCAGCTCATATCAACAACATCTCGAAGGAAAGTTACCGCTAAATACCAAAAATTATCCGGAACATGGGATAAATTTATATGAGATGTTTAGAACAAAAAATGAAGATACTTGTACAAGGATTTCGTTACCTTCACCTTCGCATTTTTCTTTATCGTCGTCGCCACGATCAACGTGTACAAATTACCCTCCCACACCAACTTCTTCAGCGTCACCTCCACTGTCGCCACACATAAAATCCAAGCGGTCCTCCATTCACCTCTTGTCGAAACCTGCACCCTGGTGTGCAAACGTTATTAATGAGGATCGTGAGGATCGTACTTTATACTCCCACTTTCAACCGAATCACCTTATGGAAACTGATTGTTCTTAATGAGAACAAAAAAAAAAAACAATTATACATATAAAAACAAAAAAAAAAAAAAAAATAATAATAATAGACTAAATAATTTTTTAGTCCTATATGATAAAAATCTTTTAATAATAATAACGTGTTACACATTTAATAACGCGTAAATTACAATTAAGGTACCAAACCCTATAATTAAGATTTACCATTAAATTAATTATTCTATTAACTATCTATCAAAAAAAAAAAAAAAAAATAAAAATGACGTTAATATATGGTAAGTTAATAATAAAGTGTGGAGGCACCACATAAAAAGTACAAGCTTTAATTAATTCTATGACGTGAAGTTAGTTTGATATGACTATTTACCTACGATCTAATCGTTTTGTTTTTTCATTCATTCATTCTTTTTTTTTTTTTTTAAAAAAAAAAAAAAAAGAAGAGGATAAGAAAAAAAAAAGAAAGAAATTTATAAATTATGATAAAATACCTGTAATATCTGATCGTTATGTTACTATGCAACTTTAATTTTTCACAATTTGGGGGAACCTCGGTCACTAAAAATATAAATAAAATTTATGATCAAAGCTGTGCCACACTATAAACGTATTTTCGCAAATGAAATGTCGAAGCTTTATCGTAATCATCTAATCTTTTAGTTCATTTTATGTATATTTTTATCTTGTTTTGGATTTTCATTTAGGATTTAGGATCTAGAACCTATAAGTTATTATTTGATAGTTGATATTTGATAGACCTAATACCTCTCGTACTAGTAAATAAAACAAAGAATGTTTATAAATGAATTTTTATTTCTTTTTATTTTTTATTTTTTTCACGTAAGAAATAATATTTGGGTTTAAAGAAAGAAATGTTATTATTACTACAAATTTAGTAAACTGCACTGCAAAAAAAAAAAAAAAAAATTCTAATCATAAAAATATGTATTTATTTTGACGGAGAAATAGAATCTTTTTTTAGCTTTGCAAATTTAAACTTTCCTAATCTCCCTTTTGTCGTAGATAAAAATCAATAGTAATAATTGTAATAGTTGAAATTACCCCAAACGATTCAATCAAAAATTTTCGTAAGTATAAAAATTTTACCAGGTTAATAGTAAATAAATAATTCACTTTGTTTAATATTTTTGATTATTTATTTCTATTTTTATTTTACTTTAAAAAAAAAAGCCGAATTTGTATTGAAGAATTACATAGAATTTAGTGTTGTTGGATCACTAATCGTCTTTGCCATCTTTATTTATCTAATTGGACAATGTATGAATAATAGGGTAAGGAACTTTATGCTAATAATGTTTACGATTAATATGAATATATGCTAAACATATATGTATGCATCTTAGGGGAAAAACTTTGTAATATTCAACTTTATGTTGATATGTTATGATTTGGCATTTGACATAGCATTTCTAGTGAAGAGTGCAAAGATCATTCCGGAATTGTACAGACCCGCGTAAGTAGAAGGTTCTGTTTTTTCAAAATTTTTTTTCAAAAAATGGACTCAACATTACTCTACTATATTTTTTAGGTTGATAATCTTAATAATATCGGGATCAATCAATATAATGTTTGGGTTTGCAATTATAATACATCAAAGGTATTATAATCCAGCTTTTTTGGGTTGGTTTCGAGAGCATCATAGATTCGCAGCGGTGATAACGGTGTTTTCTGCGGTAAACATACAAGCGTTAAAGGTTGTTTCATCAAATTTCGGAGGAATGGACTTATATAGTGCGAGATATTCCGCTAATGGACAAAGGGCCATTGCCTGGGTTGGAGTTTTAAATTTTGGTTTTCAAGATATACCTCAGCTAGTTATTTTGGTAAGTTTTTTTTTTTTTTTTAACTCTAGAGTTCGGATGAATTATGTTTAAAATTTTCATATCACCTTTTAGGTAAAGTATTGGACCATGACGGAAGGTTACACATTTATTCCATTTATCAACCTGATTTTAAATGTTGTAATTTTATTCCTTGACTTCTTTGGAAGGATCTATGATGCCGTGATAATTACAAATGATGAAGATGGTACCACGCGTAATTTAAACAATCGGTCAGCCGATAGTACTCATCAGTATAGTATGCGAGTTGGCGCTCCTTAATAACCTTTTGTTTGTGGCGCGTTTGAATCATAATAAAGAATGACGAATTGACACATGGTTATTAAATGATTCGGTCTTTTGCATGAGGAAACGAGATAGACTACCGTAGATTGACCGGGTTGGACTGGTTAGGGGTTTCGTTTCCCTTAGAATATCATGCAATTCTAAACTGGTGTTGATATTCTTTAAGTAGATTAGTTGAAATTACGATTAGGTCCTTATCATGTTGTTTCAGGTAACTTAAGATGATATACTTTGAAACATATATATCGAACAAATATTTATTATTAATTATTGAAAAGGCGTCTTTGTTTGTTTGTTTACATAGTGTCAAATAAATTTACTTTTTGAAATTGAATTTTATGGAATGAAATCATATCTCATCCTTGTTAATTAAAATTCTTTTAGATTATTTTGGTTTGGTGACATTTTGTGAAGAAACAGCATTTCGAAGCGGGAAAGTCGGGAAAAGTGGGAAAGAAATGACGTTTCTTTATGATCAACAATGAGTATCACCACATCCTACGTGACATCATTTAATTTGTCACTCCCTACCACATTTCATTTTTACCATGTATTCTGGGGACGTAAATCCTATTTTTCACATACTATTCATCACATGGTTAATTTCTTAATGCCGTAATGCGGGCCAACGTCACGTGGGTAGAAATTTTTTGCGGTGATAAGGGGTAAATGTCAACAACGACACTTTTCACGTGAAGAAATCTCATTATCCATAACCTTTCGTGTTATGATTCGCGTAATTTAAAGAGTCATTTTATCAAGCTTATGATTATATGTTGCAAATGCTAAAAATTTAAAAAAGTATAACACGAATTATAGAAAAAAAAAAAAAAAAAAGAATTCCCTCCGGCCCTGATCATTTGGCCAAACAGATTACTCGAGATTACTGTTAACATCATATCATTTTCCTAAAGACAAACTCTAAATGCACCCTCTATAAATGCACGCACTATATAAATTCTCGCTAAATGCATGTCCTAAACTCAAAGAACTTTGATTAAATATATGCACACCTTTCTAAATGCCTTTTTTTTTATATGGACATTTTAGAGAGGAGAGGTTTGACTATATACTGAATTTGACGTTTTGGACAAATCAAAAATAATTCCGGCCAAAAGTTTCATCTGCGCATATAGCAACAAAAAAAAGTTCATGTGTTTAGAAATCAAATAACATGTAACTCAAGATATCATCGTACATTATCAGATTTAAATAAATTACCAAATCTTGTTAATACCTGATAAAATTGTTCGAATTTTTTTTTTTTTTTTTTTTTGCAAACAAAGAAATAAATAACGATAAATTTAGAAGTTAATTGTTTAGTGCAATGTCAGTTGAACCCTTCTTTTACATTAATTAATTTATGTGTATGGACCTGTTTTAATGTGTTTGGGGGTCATTCATACAAAAACAATGGAATCTTCATTCATTATACTAATAATGCATAAAAAGAAAATAAAAAAAATTTTTTTTTTTTTTTTTTAAAATGTAATGGGTAAAATATAATCAATATATATATATATATTATTTGTAATCCCATGCATGACTTTTTATGGTATTATGAATGAACCTCACTGGCCGAAAAAAAATTTTTTTTTTTGTTTTGATATGGTTTCTCACCACAACAAGAACAAATTTATATAACATTACTCTTATTATGACGCGAGCTCATTTATCGAATTTTCTGACATGCGTGTTATCATAGAATCAGATAATGCTATATGCACAGTTGATTTCCTGTTGTTCGTACAACGGTTCTACACATTATTATCATTATTATTATTATTATTATTATTATTTTTTAATGCAAACGGTTCTAGCCAAAAATAAGGAAATTTTTATAAAATGAAGGTGCCTTGGTGGAATTTGAGCTTCTTTGCCGTATCCTCTTTAAAGACATGAAAAATTATTAATTTTACGCGCCACTTTTATAACAAAGTTATCCTATTCGTATTGCCTCAATCGCATTGTTCTTACTTTACTGCTTTTCTTCGTAACCTTCTAAAATACAAACCAAAATAAAATTTACAATTTACGTCAAAAATATAATAATTTTCCACCCTTATTAGAAAATGACTCCATTTATACCATTCGCTGTTATCTCATCATTTTTAATTCACGCTACTGACGCTATCCCGATAAATCCGTCATCAACCAATGATAATTCGAATGATTTATTGCGTGGTGGACATAGCGTCCAAGAAATCAATTCTTTTTATAGTGTAGGATTGTCCCTTTTACAATTCGACCTTTTATGTATCTTGTATGTGTTCTTTAGAACGTTTATGCTTGCAAATACGAAGAGCAGTAAGGCAAGAACTTTATCGATGACGCATAGGTTGCCCTTTTATTTGGCATGCTCAGGTAATTGTTCTTATCAAATCACGTACGTACAATGAATTCCCAAACAATCAATTATTTAATAAAACCTTTCTTTAGACCTACTTATCTACGCTTCCTTAACCACAAATCTAGTAATTATTCTTTGGATGATATTTACGTATTGTAAATTTACTTGTACTTGATAGTCTTATTAAATTGATTTTATTCGACAGATCTACCCGGTTTTTAATGGCCGGACATGGTTGGGTACCTCCTGTAAAATCGTTTCAGCCAGCTTTTACATTGCATCCATTGGTAACATGATATTGGTTTGTGAGCTCTCCATACTTAGCTGGTCAAGAGGTAAATACGACAGAAATTGGATTTCAATTTTAAAAAAAAATTTCGCGAGATCAAATCAAATGATAATGATAACTTTTTTAAAAATCGTAATATATTTTAGTTTGCAAGAAAACGTATGCACAACTTGGAAAGTTCGATTATAGAATGTTCATTGCACCTTGTTTGATTCCATTTATAATTACCATTCCTGCATTTAATTCTTTTGGTTCAGATGAATATTGGTAAGTTTGACAACTTTTTTTATTTTATTTTTGGATTATTTTATTTATACACCTGACAAAAAAAAAACATCTATCTGTAGGTGCTTTATGGTTCATGATGATATCGTCTTTCGTGGTGTATTTTTATCAATCTCTTTTACTATCTTTACGATAACGACATTTTGTTATATAAGTATTATTTATGAAATCAAAACTGCGGAAATTAACAGTGGAAATCAGCACTTTTACCGTGCAACGCGCAAAATTAGCGCATACTTATCAATGTATATTTTGCAATGGGTGGGTATAATCTGGGATGATTTGATTTGTTCATTTGAATTTTCATTCTGATCATTTTTTTTATTAGACGCCCTTCATTATTTTCGTTATTATTGATTTTCTTGACGTAAGTTTTTGGTCAAAGATTTATATCGTATCGAAATCATTAGTGAGATCAAATGTTAAACCTTTTATAAAAATTTAGCACGCCAAGATGTACGTTTTCTTTGCTTGTGCAGCCTTTATCCCAATCGGAGGGATCCTTAATGCTGTGCAATACGTTCTTAACGAGGGATGTTTTCATGACGATAACCGATCTCATGCCCTTTCACGTTGGTCACATCCAACGACACCAAAATCTGCTAAAGCCAAATGTATGCTTGACGATGATGCAGATGACCTTAAGATGGCCAAGTCTAAAGTTGAAACCATAGACCTGTCTGAGCTATGCAATTTGGAATCTTGTCAACCGGAAAATTCTCAACGGATTTCGATTTCCTTAAACTAAACTTCCTCTTTTTTAAAAAAAAATCCTTGTTTCTTTTAATTTTATTCTCGCATGGAACGGCCAAACCATAAGATTTTAACTCTAGAATATATATATTTTTTCTTTTACGAAACCCAAAATATATTTATCTTAATACAGGTTTAGACCTTGTGTTAAATCAAAAAAAAAAAAAACAAAATTAGCTTAGGCGTCATAATATTTTTACGAAAAAACCCTTTATGTTGCTCAGGGATTATTACCCTTGTTCCTTTTTTTTAAAAAATTCACACTTGTATATATACATTAAAGTACCTTTGCATAACAATTCATAAGAAAAAAAAAAAAAACACATTGACAAACAATTATATATATAATGATTATTTTATACATATCGCTTTGCTGAAATCATAAAACGTCGCTCCGCAGTAAAAAATATATATGATGCTCTCGAAAAAAATTGACGCGTTAGCTCGTGTTATATTAACGTGTGCGAGAAATTTCTTTATTTCTTGTGAGAAAGTGAGAGTGAACCGGCAAAAAAGTTTCATGTTATAAAGTTGATGTGTATTATTCATTGCAAAATTTGTGAGCTAACTTTTATGAACTAAATAACTGAAACTTCATTTCAACAAAGTCAGTACATAGTCTAACTGAGAAAACAGCTAACAATTTCAACATCTATATTTACCATACCATATTTATATATTTTGTTTACATAATAATATTTCACTGGATTGGATTATTTTGTTCCAGCATGAACCTATAATTATAATATGTTTTACTATGCAATAATAGATTAAGTGTAGATAAATTATAACAAATGTCCGTAAGTAATAAGTAATACAGATTTTCTGCTCTGCGTAAATGATGAACGGCCACGCATTGAACATATGATAAAATCTACGGTGCACCTTAACTTTTGAAAATGTGACATTGATTTCTAATATCTCTTACTTCGAAGTTGTAAATTCACGAATTCATTTGGTTTTTCTAGGTTTTTCTTACCCATTCATATAGCTCCGAATTTTTTCTCTCGACATTCCGCGGTATTGATTTCGAACGTTTACAATTTTTTTGATGTTTCTTCGCCAATAACATAATCTTGTATAATCATTAAAAATCGAATGACATCATTTTTATTAAAGTAATAATATAAACTTAACTTCTGACGATTCCACTATCATGATAAATAAAATGGTTTAAATTTTAAATTGTTTCTTTTAAAACTTTATTTGCAGATTGGTTTCCTATTTATTGACTGAAGAGCTATTAAAAAATATACATATGTATAATTAATTGTGGCTTTATAACTCCTTAAGTTAATATATTTACATATATCTATCAATATAAAATAATAAATACCTAAAGAAAAAAAAAATAAAATATTCTTTGAATTACCTTTTCTCTGTCGTTAAGGGTACGGGTTAACATCCATCCGAGGTTTTATCCAATGAACCTTTTATTAGATTTTAAATCCAATCCGGATTCTGAAAAATCCGAATTCAATTCAGCATTCATGAATCCAATTCCATGTCTACTTGTAAGTCTTCCGGTTCCTTTTAATGTCCTTTCCCTCTCGTATTTTTTTTTTTTTTTCATTTTTCTGAGCTCCCATCAAGTAAATTCAGAATAATGAACGTATTGAAACCTTGATCTATTGGTGAGACGCGTATCAAGCTTCCCAAACTTACATATTCCGACTCCTAACCAATCCCATTGCGTAAAAAATCTAGACAGTTAAAATATTATGTATGATATGAATCATATTTATATGCGAAACATAATGATTAAATCCCATGCGTTGATCAATAAACGATAACGGACAATTAAATAAATCATATGGACATTCAGCAAAAACTAAAAATTGGTAGAATTTATAATTTTGTAAAATTTAACTTACTTTCCCGAAGACTCTTTCTTATAAGTCTATTCACATTTCTACTACTTTTGAGAAAGAAATTGACACCTTTAGAAAGTGCTTAATAGTAGCTGAATATGAGAAATGCGCCTTATGTATCTTTTTTTTTTTTGAAAAAAAAAAAAAATTGGAGTCGTTCAAAGTACATATAGTTGGTTAGATTTAATTAGGATTATAACAGGGATGAGACCTGGTTTAACGAAAGATCATTAACCAATAAAAACAGAGAGAAGAATTTAAAATTTTTTTTTTTTTTAGTTAGATGCGATTTGTGGCTTAGAATGATGATTTTGTTTAGAATAAAATTTTTTTCAGATGTTCATTTTATTCTTTTCGCAAAAAAAAAAATTAAATTATTTATTATTATTAAAAATTCAGGTCAAAGCTTATTATAACCTCGTTCAGAGGATCCCAACACAAAAGTACTAGACTACGACAAACTTGGTTAAAATGTAGCAGATTGCATATTGTATCGTTCTCAACTTACATCTAATTGGCTTCGGACAATGGACAAGTCAAGGCTTACCTGTTCCAAGGTTAAGTGTTTGTGATAAGGACAAGTTTTTTTAATTGGAATACCAGTTATTAAGGTAAGTATATATATAAAATCCATATTGATGTAGAAAAAGCCTATAATTAACAGTGAGCTTATACAAATCACAAATTCTCAGTCAATCAAAATAGTTTGCTCGAGAGGTCTTATCTGATACAGAGTGAGTATATGTATGTATATATAAGAGAATTGCCAATTAATTTTTATGGTAAAAACATCATTCAAATTTTTACCTGGTAAAAAGTTTAATATTAGCAAATATTTTTTTGTCGAGAAATTTAGATTTGTATTGTCATCATCGGGAATATATGACTGCGATCGATTTTCATGTGAAGAATGTATATTTATTTAATTTATAAGAGGACAAATAGAGGAGAAACCTGAACACCGTTCAGCACGATCCAAGATTATCCATCTCATTTCTTCCAAGAGAATGTGTTGTTCGTCGAGAATATGACTGAAATCTGAAGAAATTTCACGTTAACCATCCTGATAACAATAAAATTCTCACATCATTGTTTCTATTTTACCCATCAAGAATTATTTGGGTAATTTCATCACTAATTTTGGATATAGTTAGTCAAAGATAAAAAGGTAAAGGATCTCCCGGAAGAAATATATACCACCATTTGTTTTTTAACCGGAAAAAGTAAGATACTACAAAAATACGCTAGTTACTTCATAAGTCATTTAATTAATATTAATATTATTAATATTTATTAGAATAATTTATTATTTAATATATACCATTTATTAAGGTTACAAATATTTATGTAAAAATGCATCATGTGCACATAAATCTCAACGTAAACGCCACCCGCTCTATATATATTTAGTTAAATTATAGTTCAACAAGTTTCACTCGAAACATTTTTTTTCTAGAAACCATGCAAGTACGCATAATATATCAGTAAACCTATTGAAGGAAGAATAGTTAGAAAAAAAATATTTTTTCTTGGTAAATAAAGATAAATCATAACATTGAACTTACCAATGATAATTGCCACTTTAAAAGCAATCAAAAAAATGATGAGTATGGACTTCCAGGTGAATCTCTTTGTTTTGGAACATATAGGCTTGACATTAGTCGAACGTAATCTTCCCGGGGAATCTTCTTCAGAATAAGTTTGTTGTAAATATTGCATTGAATAACGTGAATTAACTGGACGTGCCGTAGGAGGTACTACTATTGTAATAGTACAATCATCATCATCTGTTGGAATTATAGATGAATTATAATTTTTTTCATCTAAATTGTTCTTTTCATTCGGTTCATTAATTTTGGTATCAGAAGGTTTAACCTTGGATTTGAATAGGGTCATATTTATTTATTTTTATTATTATTTTTTTTTTTTAAAAAAAAAAAAAACAAATTAGAGAAAAAAATTGGAGCAAAAAAAAAAATTAGAGAAATTTTTTGCTGAAAAAACTGTGAAGGTGGAAACCCCCAAGTTATTAAATTAGAAAAATCATCGGATTTTATCATTCATATTGTGTTCATCTTTGGCCATATCAATTGAATTTCTTTGTTCCTATTGTCAATCATTTTTTTGAGTTGGGAGTGACAAAATGTAACAAATCAGATTCGAGAGTTCAAAAATAAAACCACGTCTGAGTAATGAACTTCTATTTTTGAAATCATTTGGCTAAGTTGAAAGTTCCGTAATAGAACTTTTGTCATTTTTGTGAATTGTACACAAATCTTTTATTTATAGGTTGAGACGAATACATATATTTGGTTTAACCCGAATATTTTTTGGGCGGGGGTTTTTTTTTTTTCTTTTTAATAATTACTATTGGAAAATTGTGTCACGTGATTTTTTGTGATTCGAGAACTATTCTCCAAAAACGACGATTTGATCAATTATTTATTATCCAAGAAATTAACCGCAAGGAAAGGTTACCGTTCATCAGGAGTACTTTTCACATTTGAAACTTTGAAACATGTAAAATTATAAATTTATAAATAAAATAAAATTGATAACCATTTAATAAGAATTTATGCAAGCGAAATTACTCGCATTGCTCTTGAATCAATCATAATTTATTTTTATTTTTTTCATATAATAAAATCTATATTAGCTTATCAATGTATACTTAGGAGAAAACTAAATAATTGGCGAAAAAAAAAATGAGTAGTAAAAAAATTATATAACGAGAATAATAATCGATTTTTCATAAGGTAACAAAAGAATTTTACAATAAGGCTTTTCATATCTTTTTCATAGTATTACGAATTTATAAAAGTAAAGAAAAAAAAAGTTTGATCGACAATGATAAAAAAAAAGAAAAAAAAAGAATTCACAAATCCTCGAATCGTCTCCCGACCGGTTCACACGCACGATAATTTGATCCATTGATTTTTCTCATGAAACAATAGTGGCTTTTTTTTTTCTTTTTTTTTTTTTGTTGTAATGTTTTCTTTTTAGAAAAAAGAAAGCTTAGAATGTAGAGTTTAACCAGATTGGAAACTGGTTGGAAAACATTTCATATTTTTGTTTTTTTCGTTTTGATTTATCGACGAAGTTAATGGATTATTTTTTTTTTTTTTTTAAGGGAAAGAGAATTTGATGAGTAATGATGAGTAATGAATGACGCGTTGTATTTCGTTATTTCGTTATCAAATTCACGCGTGTAAATTGTTTAAAGAATGAATGGTGGAGGAGGAGGGGGGAACTTCGAGATCTCAATGATTTTTTAATCAAAAGTAATGTACACGCCATCCAATTTCTCGTCCTTAAATATTGATTTTTTCGAAACAAGATTTTTAGTGTAACGAATCTTTTTTTTTTTTTAAAAAAAAAAAAAAAACCAATTATTTATTTACGCCGCCTTTCACAAAAACAAATTCTTTTCCCCGTTTTTTTTTTTTTACTTGATTTTTTTTTTTATACTATCTAACTTTTATTCTCAAAATCTAACTGTGATTTTAATGAACCTCTAATCAGAGGAAAAAAAAAAAATAAAATAAATATTTATTCATGATTTTCCCAAAAAAGGTTCAATATTTCTTTATGAATGGAAATTATGTAATAGCAAAATATTACGTAAAACATAATATTGAAACACGTAATATATTTTTTAGAAAAGTTTAGCCACAAGAAACCAAATTTAGTATAAATTGTCAAATCTTAGAGTATATATATTAGTCGAGATATCCAACACGAGACTTTCAAGTGAAATCTTATATGATTGATTATATAACAACTTGTTAAAACAATAGATTCCGGATTAGGAAAAAAATTTTCCTGTTACCCCATTATTATAAATTTATATTTGAATTGTATGTTTGTTTTCTCATGATATTCAGAAGCTCTGATCAGATGACGCCAAATTACGCTTATTTCGAAAAACTTAAAAACCACATACTCCCTTCCCCTCCTTTTTCTTGAAATCAAATTTATAGGTTACATCAATTACTTCCGAATAGACATTCTAAAGGAAGAAAAGAAAATCTCGAAACTTTCCTTATCCATGATTTGCTTACTAAAATAGATTTTATTTTTATTATGTCCAAATTAAGTTAACAGAAACGTAATAATGATTTTTGGTCTATAAAATTTTATCAATTTTATAAATATTAATTGTACATTCTGAAAACGTAGATTTTGATGCCTTGTACCAAAGTTCTAGTTTGTGGCACGGCATGAGTACTAACTAATAAGAAAAGTGTTTTTTCTGACAAATGTTTAATGCTGGAATTATTGTGATGTCACCAGCATTTCTAAAAATAATGAAAGCGTAGGGTGTGTTTACAATATAAACAAAATTAATACTACACCAACTTCTCTCATTCATGAAACCAGTCGGAACAAGTCTCATTTAAATCCACATGAATAGGAATTTATTCAATGTATTAAGCAAAAATTTTAGAAATATCGAATTTGATTTTTTTTACAAACAACCACCTCAATTCCTCGAAATAGTTAGTAAGTTTTGGTAAAAAAAATATATATGACCAATAAAATTTGATATCAAAAAAAAAAAAAAAAGTGAACCTGCCAGGCAGCAGAAAATTGCAGGTTATGACCGCAGATTGCAAGTTGTCTTGCCTAATCAACAAACAACATTTCAAAGTTTGGTAAACATTAAAGAAAATAAGCCGCCTCACTGCATCGCTGCACGAATCTCTTGGTTTGACTTTCCGAAACATGAGTTTTCGCAGTTTTGATATGAATTGTCCCGCTTTTGTAGAAAAAAAAGATGAATTTGATTGGGTGAATTGTATCGTGTAACGTGATTGATATTAGTTGTATGATTTTAAAACCAAGTTTTGGATCGAAAAATTTTAAAACCTTTTTTTGTTTAGAGATTATCGTATGACTTTTTATTTTATTAATATTTATATTGTAAAAAATAATTTGAATTACCAATATAAATTATTATGACATAATGTATTATATATGGATTATATAAAAAAAATAATCAATAACATAATTATAATAACTTTATATTATCAATATAAATAATATGTCACCAGGTTTAAGGTTAGATTATGTTATTTCGTTGATCAACACCAAAGAAGTTATTATATACTGTGCATGTGGAAACAAAAGTGTTGTATTACCATCGTTTATTCACATCACAATTGTATTACCAATATAATATATTAGGATCTCTATTTAGATAAAATTCGTAAATATTTATATTATTAGAAGTGAGAATATTTTAGAAAATCATCGATAAAATTTACAAGTAAGAGAGAAAAATAATAACTAATAAAAGAACATTCATATAAAGCTATAAAAAAAAGAAAATCAGTAGAAAAATAATTTAGAATAATATATTATAATAAAAATATATTGTATTTTAAAGATTATAAATTAAGAATAAGTTTAATTATTTTGTTAGTTTGAAATTATTGAATTTTACTTTGTTTTTAGATGAATTTTTCTTAGTTAACTTTTATATATATATATTTTTTTTTAATAATACTTATTACCTAAATATAATTTTTATTTTTAACTTTATTTTTTTGATTAAAAAATTTATTTCTTTTTAATTTTTTTTACACTAATTAACATAAATACTTTATTTTTCAAATTTTTTTTAAGTAATTCATTTCTAATTAAAAAACTTGTTTTTCTTCTTAATATTTTAATTTTTCTATTTAGTATTATTTATTATTTTTTATTATTATTGTATTTATTATTATAATATATTGTAACATAAATAAAGTTTTAATTTTTTAAAAATATTTATTTTTTTGATTTTTAATAAATTGAAGATCTATTAATAATTTTTGAATTTTTATTATCAAAATTAAAATATTTTAAAAGAAAATATTGCAAATTTGCCTGCAATTTTATTTAATAATTAAAATTATTTATAATATTTTTTTAAAAATTAATATTTTTTTATAATAAATTTTATGATGTTTTCTAAAAAAAAAATTCAAAAAAAAAAATGTAATTAATTAGTGATATTTTAAAGATAAATATATGATAAATTATTATAAAAAAAAATTAAAATTTTTAAACTTATATATCTTGCTATCTATTGATCTCAGAAATATAAAATATAATCATTTAATAGATCTTAATTAGATAAATCCAATAAACTAATTTTATTTTCTTATAATTATTAGATAATAAGTTATTTTAAAAAATTGAAAATTGAAAATTAATATATATTAATAATTATTAATTTAAAAAATTTAAAAATACTATCATTAGATAGATTTTAATATGACAAATTTAATAAGTTTCATGTTATCTTTTTATAATCACTAAATATTAAAATATTATAATTTTTCTACAATGTTTTACAGCCAATTTATACCTATATTTTAAGGGATAAGTAAATTTTAAATACTTTTTATCTTTGTTTAATTTCTTAATTTTTATTAAAATTCATATAAAGGAAAAAACAATTAAAAAAATTTTATTTTTATTTTATAAGTTAAATATTATTTTAATTAAAATTAATAATATATGTAAAAAGTTATTTATATTTAAAATACTAAAATTATATTATTAGTTAAAAAATGAAAGAAAAATTTTAATTTAAAAATAAAAAATAATATATAAATTTGAAATTTTACATTTAAATTCTTTCTTATCATTTTATTTTTATTAAAAATATATTGATTTATTTTTTTTACATTTTATCTTAAATATTAAATAAATAAGTTTTATATAATAATAAATTTTACTTTTATTAATTTAATATAATATATAAATATTTTAAGTTAAATTATAATTAAAATAAACAATTATATTAATACTTTAGTATTGTATTTTATTTTTTTAAATAATTTTATTTAATTAGTTTTTTAGATTAATTTGATATTATTATAATTAATTTAATCTTAAATAAATAT